GAGCGGTTTTTCAACAAGGCCGTCTGTCAACAGGCCAGCTAGGTTCCCCGAGGAGTTCCTTCAGGAGCTGCTGGGGAACCCACCTAGAGGCTTTTTAAGAGTAGTTCCGTTTTGGGGATCATATTTAGAATCCTATAAGGTAGTCCCAAAAAGGAACTACTATGGAGCCTATGGGTAGGCAGAACATCCCGGCATTCGCCGCCGGTTTGGTCGATCGCACCTGGAAGTTTTAGTGTGCTGGCAAGGATGAAAGCAGAGCCACGGCTCGTTGGCTCAGTGCCAACTAGACGTGAAAGACACGATGGGCATGAGAAGGCCGGCTTTGATATGGATACTTTTCAGAATAAGGCTCCCTTTTCGGATCCCCAAAGGAGCACCTAGACCTTTAACCCCAGACCCTAAACCCTGAACCCTAAACCCTAAACCCCTAAACCCTAAACCCTGAACCCTAAGCCATCTAAGCACAACAAACCATAGCCCCACAGAGCTGGCATTGCCCTGCACGGCGTGTCTGTTGATGGACAATGAGCATTGCGCGTTCATTGCCTAGCTAGTATAGAGGCCTAACCAATCAGTATTGTCCCCTAGCGTTTCTTATAATCATCAATCACATGATAATGTATCCCGAAACCCTATTCTATTTATGAAGGTTCCTGTACCTACCATGAAGCATGGAAGTTGTTTTATCCTGTCGGACCAAATGACTCGTGAAATAGGCGCCCTATACAGATATACCATGGATCCCTCCATGATCTCTGCATCTTAAATCCCTTTTAGGGCTCATTTCGCTTTGAAGCACGTGCCATCCTCAGGAGGCATCAGTTTTGTCCATCAGGAGTTGTGCCATCGATGTGCAGCTTTCGCGTTTTAGTGCCGACATAGGGTAGCTGCTTCAGTTGAAGGGCTGCTGGTGGTTGGAGGTTCAAGGAACGGGTGCGTGTTTGGAGGTTACTTAAAGGATCATGGGACTTAGTAACTCGGGTTAAAATGAGGGCAACTATACTTATAAGCCCACTTAAGGTACTTATAACCATACTTACTAATTAAGTCCCATGATCCTCCAAGGAGGGCCTGTTCGGTTTCATGGTTAACTCCCTTCCCGAAGCCTTAATTTCGGCCCCCCCCAATCTTGAATCCCTCTGCTGGCAGGCCGTCCCGTAAACGCTTTTCCTTTGAGTCTCTAAGAGGGTGTTCACTTTCCGTGTAAGGTAATTTTTCATAAACCTTGGCCACAAGTGTGTTCGGCGTATGTGCCGCTGTGGTGGAGCGTTAGCGCAGTGTTTCAGCCACAGCTGCCCAACACAGGAGTGTGGATCAACCAACGTTTCCGAAAAACTGGAGCAACCTGAAACTCCTTAACCCGAAGGGTCCCAGGACTTAACAACCATTTAACTCTCCCAAATAGTAACCTACATAACTACTATCCGAAACCTAAGTACCTAACTATTGAGTCCTGTGGACCCTTAGGAGTCACAAAAAGGGGTTCCCACAGTCGTAAAAAACACCTCCAACGACACCCAGACAGCCACCACTTGCCGATGGCCTCCACTTGGTGGCCGACTCATCTTCCTTTCGGCAGGTCTTACTGTGAAGATGCATGACGTGAAGGTTGCTGGTTTAGAGTTTTCAGGGTGGTGGGATCAGGGCTTCTGTCGCTTTCTATATTTGTATTACTATTATTAGTATTACTAGTAGTATTAGTATCAGTATTAGTATCTTTTTAAATTTTGCTCTGAAGGATCGCCGCATCGCGAAAGTGCACCTGAACCAAACCCTGAACCAAGGGGTGGTTTTTCAAATGGTGGTTGTCAAAATTATGGTCCCTTATTGGGCCCTTGTTATTATACAGCACCTAATTTTTAGGGTGCCCAAAAAGGGACCATAATTTGGACAATCACCCAAATGGTGGTTTGGAAGAACTCTGAGAAGAGCAACTGTCACGTCTGACCCAGATTGAGGTTAACTGACACTGCTGGCCTGGTTTCGAAGCCTCTTGCGCGTCGAGGTTTAAAGTTTATAGGGTTACTGCTGCCTCTGCATCACAGCAACAGGCATCGTCTTTCTGCATATGCCTTTGGGCATGACACTGGCCATGATGAGTGTTTGTGAGCAGTACTATCACTGATGGTTTGCTTGCTTGTTGTTTGCACTTGTTCACATGGTTCATGTAACATAGGGTTTGAGTAGTTTACCGATGCTATTATGGGGTTCCTTACAGCATCAATGTAGTATAGCATGCCCCAAAACCCCTATTCCAATCATTAAGGCTCCAAAACCTACTTGGAGGGGCAGGGGACTTAGTAAGTAGGTTATAAGTAGAGTTATAAGTACCCTAAATGGAGGTACCCCCAACTAGAGCCCTACTTATAACCTACTTACTAAGTCCGACTCAGTCCCCTGCCCCTCCAAGTATACCCCAAACCCTAAACCCCATAGATCCCTTTAAGGAACCCTATAGATCCCTTTAAGGAGCCCTTTAAGAACTCTTCAACCCCTGCCTTTAACTCTTCAGCGCCAAAACCCGTAGTACGGGCTCTTTAAAGGGATCTATAGGGTTCCTTAAAGGGATGTATGGGGTTTAGGGTTTTGGGTCTACTCAGAGGTTCATGGGACTTCCGTAGTACTTGCAGGTTCATGGGACTTAGTAACTAGGGTTATAATTAAGGTAACTACACTTATATGTACTTAAAATCCCAATTGGGGTACTTATAACTGTACTTACTAAGTCCTATGAACCTCCAAGTAGGGATCCTTGAAGGCATTTATAAGGGGTTTCTGTGGCGATCTATGAAGGTTTCGACACGGGGTCTATAGGGGTTTCTACAGGGCTTGTTTAACGGCACTTACTACATGGGTAGTTTTCTAAGTTACAGCCCTTTTAGGGGTGTGGCGCATTGCTTTGGATCTAAAACAGAATCCGAATTGAGAGAACTACCCGAATCCTAAACCCTAAACCCTATACTCTATAAACCGTGTAACTACCCATACAGTCAAAGCTCCCAGCCCTGAGCCCTCAGAGGCCTTCAAAATTGCCATCCCCAGGGCCTCTTGCTATACTTATGCGGTCATTCGGGCCCCAGGGTTTAGGGTTTAGGGCTTAGGGTTTA